TGAGAAAAAAATAGAAAAAGGAAAGGAAAGACAAGATGTTAAATATACTTAAAAATGTAGAGATGAGTTACAAAGATAGAATAGTGATACTTAGTTTGTATAAAGAGCAACAGACAGTTATACAGCTGAGGCTGCAACGTAGAGAAGTAAATATTAGGAAGGGGGGGTCAGACAGGGATGCACACTGTCACCGCTACTTTTTAATCTATACATCGAAGACGCGATCAACATCATTTAGGACAGTACAACTGTAGGGATAGATATACAAGGACAAAAGATTAGTATGCTTAAATTTGCAGATGATATAGCAGTATTAGCGTCTAGCAAGGAGGAGTTAGAGATAGCTTTAAATAAAATGGAAGCAATATTGCCAATAGTATTATATGAATATTAATAAAAGTAAAACAAAAATACTGGTATGCAAGGGAAGAAAAAGTAGGGAAACAGCGAATATAAAGATAGGAGACGAAAGACTAGAAGAAGTGGCTGATCTCTGGTATCTAGGAAGTCAGATAAGTTAAGACGGAAGGGGTAGGAAGGACATAAAGCAGAGGATAGCGCAGGATCGAGTCGCCATCAATAAAAAGAAGACACTACAATACTGGTAGACGATTAGTTTAGGAATTCGAAAAAAAAATGTTAAAGGTGTATGTTTGGAGTGCGGCGCTGTACGATTGCGAAACATGGACCGTGGGCGCGGACTAAAAGTTTTCAAAATGTGGTGTTACAGGACACCTTCTCAGGCATGAAGGTCAAGTCAGGGACATATTAGAGGAAGAAACGGGAGTTAAGAGGAATAGGGGTAGACCCAGATTAGATTTACTGCTCGCAAATAGTTAAGGATGTGGGATGTTCTAGTTTTAGGGAAATGCGAAGATTAGCTCAGGATAGGAATGTGTGGAGGTACGCCGTGTCCAACCAGTCATAGAACTGACGACCATATGATGACTTGCGTACATCCTGTTATTTTTTTGATGTACGTATATAACTCTCTATATCAAAATATGTCAAAGTAAGATATAAATTAAGCCCAACACGAAACATCACTGATAACTATTGCATCGCTGCTTAATCATCACCTTTGGGGTAAGTCACCCTCAAAAGATCTCGTGTCAGATACGGAAAGCATGTCCCTGATGATATAACACGGAATTTTGAGGAAAGGACAGTAAATTAATGGTAGATGGCTATCAAAACGGTAAATCTTTTAGTACGTTTAACACGTGTAATTTTATGAGATAGTGTCACAAGAAATTTTATATTTCTACCTACTCTGAATCTCGTAGATTAGCTAATTACAATAAGAAAGTTAAGCTTACCCTCACCCACAAAATCTAAAAAAGAAAAACAAGAATTTCTCGGATAAATAAAATTACATCTCAAATTTTTGTAAATATCAAATAGATTATTGAAAATCAGTTATGAAATTTAAAAATCTAGATGAAAATTACTTACTA